ATTTTTTTCTAACAAAAGTCAATGTGTAAAGTCAAATAGGAAAGTAAAAGAATCTTTCCTACATACTTAGATGGGTGTTGGTTTCCCCCCACAGTACTGTTCAATCTTTTCCCCCTCCTCAAATACAATTTTCCCGCTCTTTTCACATGGCGTCATTTTTTTGTCTCGTTGAACGCATCACCATTTATAGACGTGCGACGCAAAAACGTTATACTTTATTTATTGCTTCGAATATTTATATTTATTATTGTGAAGTTAACTCAGGAATGTTTAATTTTACGAAACCATGATAATACGCTAAAAAAGATGGTCAATTGATGAAATCGCGGTAGGTTTAATACCCGGAAGTGAGTAAAACGACAGTCGTCCGGTGTAAACATGACGAGTGACGCGTGCTATTGCGCAGCTACCAACGCGCAGCATTTGAACGTCCGTAGTTCGATCAGCCATATTGCCCTGTGGGTCTTACACAACGCCCTCACACGAACGATTGCAAGTTTACGAGGTAAGCGAATATTTCGAGGTTTCCCGTCGTAAGTGGACTCAGCACAACGTGAAAAACTCGTTCTCGCGAAGAAAGACAATTTTCCGTGGCATTCGAAGAAGTCCTTAGTGAGCAGTAGCGAGCAGAACACAAAAGATTGGTGAGTTATCCGCGGCACGTAGCAGAACGAACAGTATTCCCTTCCGTTGCGTCCTCCATATTGATGACAGCGCCGACGGTGATAATTTTCTGAAATTTTTGTCGTTAATGCCCCCTGTGTCCTGAAATCGAAAGCACCCGCGTTGTCTTAAAAGCTTTCCGACAGAATGCGCAACTTTGGGGCCCCCGGTGTTTGACGAAAGTCCGCGGATGCGAAATCCTGGCGACCCGTTGCGTATTTCCACGCGCTCCTTCATCCATCGTGACCACGATCGCATTTTGCCCATGGCGTCATTCCCGTTCGCATTACCCGCTTCGCCTGTTACATGGCGTTCCGCGGCGACGCGTGTCGCCTCTGTCAATTCCGTTTGACTTTGCGACGATACGATATACGCGGATGCTCAATTTTGAGAATTGCCAAAACGTGGTCAAACATGCCAATTCTTTGCTCCTCCCCTCCCTCTCGTCGCGAATGAATCCATCCACTCTTTCGTAGCTTCAATTTCTTTACACGGATATTGATTTTCCTTTAAATTTACGCAATCACGATGTCCCGTGTATTGCCACTCGTATTGCGATAGCGATTTCCGTGTAATTTTATGTCTGTATATATTACCGTATTTGTACCTTTTTGAATGTACAACTTCATTATACTTGCATATTACTCTGTTACCTGTTTTATATATGTATATAATGCTTGAACTTTATGATTCTGTTTTTACATTTAGAAATTGATACACTGATACATTGCTCATTGAAGAATATTCATGTATTTAAAAATTGTATAATTGAATACTCAGTTACATACAGATTGGTGATTTATAAATGCCCAAGATAATCACTTATAATTCAAAAGAACAAAGTGCTATCTTTTTGTAATAATCGATGGTACATGTATTGTTATCTATAACTGTAATTTGTTTGAATGTACAACTCCTGTGAATAAAATACTTTAATTATGTTTAAAGAAAATTGAACTACAATAAGAAGTTTATATTATTCATCGTTACATTTTAATACATTCTAATACAACCAGTAATGTTTATGGTAATAAACAAAGGATGTAATTAATATTATTTCAGACTGATGAAAATACGTTTATATGAATTAATGATTTCATCATGACAAGCAACGTAACGACTATTAAGTTAGAAGAAGGGCAGGAATCTGTAACAGAAATACAAACTTATTTAGAAACATTCAACAAGGAAATAGAAGGGGGTCAAGGAGAGCAATTGCAACATGTACAGTGTTAGTATTTTGTAATAAATTAAACATCTTTCTGTATACCCATTAATAATACGAGTGAACAAGTTTTATCAAGAGCTTATATTATAGTGCAACAAGTGGAAGGACTATCGGGTGGTGAAGAAGGTGGAACTTATTTTGTTGATCAATCTGGTCAATATTATTACCAAGCAAATAATGATGAAACACCTGTGATGACACAAGTGCAAATTCAAGAAGTAGAAGAAGCTGATGTACAAAATGAAGGAGAACATCCTCAAGAAGAACAGTACCAAGAAATTGAAGAATTGGAAAATGTTGATGGAGAAGAAGATGTAAGTGAGAAGACTAGCACTGTCATAGTAGTGCTGAACTCCTGACTACAGTGTTTTGACTCCTTTCTCTAACAAACATTTTATCTTACAGGGCCAGGTGGCTAACAATGGAAATAATCAAGTTGTAATAAATTCTGGGGATGCATATCAAACTGTTACCATTGTACCATCAGACACTAATCCTGGAGAAGTTAGTTATGTATTGATAGTTCAACAACCTGATTCTGAAGATAAGGAGAGTAGACCTGTAGAGCGGGAAGGAACAGAGGGTGAAGAAGGAGAAGGTGAACAAGACCTTACTGTTTATGATTTTGAGGACAATGAAGACAATGAAGCACCCGTTGAATCAGAAGCAGAAGATGATAAAACCAAAATTATCAAGTTCCTACCTAAAAAATCTCAAACTGTTACCCAAGCTCATATGTGTAATTACTGTAATTACACGAGTCCGAAGCGGTAAATACATAACAGTTATAACTTGCCTTTACTTTCTTTCAAATTGCAGTTATATAAACTAGTTTTTTATGTACATGCCGTAGGTATCTATTATCACGACACATGAAGTCGCATTCGGAAGAAAGGCCACACAAATGCAGCGTTTGTGAAAGAGGATTCAAAACATTAGCTTCGCTCCAAAACCACGTTAACACGCATACCGGGACCAAACCACATCACTGTAAATTTTGTGACAGTGCATTCACGACTTCTGGTAAGTGCAATTGTTCTGTGTTTTTACATTTCCTTATAATCGCTCAGCTTGCCGGTATTAAATAAGCTACTTTGTTGATTACAGGTGAACTTGTCAGACACGTTCGATACAGACACACGCATGAAAAACCGCATAAATGTCACGAATGTGATTATGCATCCGTTGAATTGTCTAAACTGAAACGTCATATTAGATGTCATACAGGGGAGCGACCATATCAAGTACGTTCTGGATTATTTATTTATTACTCGTAATTAATGCTATCAGATTGTATAGATAAACTTATCATGGACGCTTTATTTTTTTACAGTGTCCGCATTGTACATATGCAAGTCCCGATACGTTCAAATTAAAACGGCATTTGCGTATACACACAGGCGAAAAACCATATGAATGTGATTTTTGTCAAGCAAGGTTTACTCAGTCTAACAGTTTGAAAGCTCACAAATTGATACATAATGGTATGTTGGAGTTTCATATATTTCACGTTTTTGATATTTAAATCTTTATGTAGCTGTTATATTATTCATGATAATGTGTATGTTACAGTTGGTGATAAACCAGTATTTCAATGTGAGTTGTGTCCAACGACTTGTGGAAGAAAAACAGATCTCAGAATTCATGTACAAAAATTACATACCTCTGATAAACCTTTAAAGTGTAAGCGCTGCGGAAAAACATTCCCAGATAGGTTAGTATATACTAGCTTGATTGCGAATAAAAGATTGTCTTATAAACATAAAACACATAATACTTTTTTACCTTTGTAGATATAGCTATAAGCTGCATAGTAAAACCCATGAGGGAGAAAAGTGTTATAAATGTGATTTATGTCCATATGCATCAATATCTGCACGTCATCTTGAAAGCCATATGTTAATTCACACAGATCAAAAACCATATCAATGTGATCATTGTTTTCAATCATTCAGACAAAAACAGCTTCTCAAACGGCACTGTAATCTTTATCACAATCCTTCTTATGTTCCTCCACCACCGCAAGAGAAGACACATCAATGTCCCGAATGTGAACGGCCGTTCAGGTATTTATACAACAAATGTACCAAACGAAAAATAAAAGTGGATATTTTCTAACGATTTCTTTATTTAGGCACAAGGGAAATCTTATTCGACATATGGCTGTTCACGACCCAGAATCATCTCTTCAGGAAAAACAACAAGCATTGAAAATGGGTAGACAGAAAAAGATTCAAATTATAGATGGTCAGAGAGTCGAGGTCATGACAGGTAAGTCCCTATTGTTTGAAGAATTATTCAAGGTTACTTGATTCGTTTATATGTGCAAGGATAAATTACACCAAGACCCTTAAAATCATTGTCGAATAAGTAACATATATATGACGAACAAGTAACATCCTCAAGTTCGTAATCACAGGGACACTTACGATATGATCTGTACACAGATCATTGACTAACTTCCATGTGTTGTATTGTGATAACAGGTGATTTAGCTTCTAAACTTAAAGGTTATGAAGAAGAAGAAGAAGATGAAGACGACATGATGGCCGTTGAAGGAAGCGATGGTCAACAGTATGTTGTATTGGAAGTTATTCAGCTGGCTGATAATCAAGGAACCGATCAAGTACGTAATTTCCCTACCGATAACCACTAATCGTAATGTTTATGCAGGAACGCGTTTAATTTTATTTCCTTTCTCTTTTAGCAAATGGCGGTCGTAGCTAGCGAAGATGGAGATTTGGTGATGCAAGATCCCTTGAGCCAAGAGAGTGGTATCGTAACGGGTACAGGAGAAGAAGTAGACGAAGAAGAAGAAACCGAAATTGAGTTAAAAATAGATCCGGAACCTACTAAAAAATCTTCTCAAAACACTCAAAACGATCCAAAGTTACAAAAAGAAATGGAAACCTGTTTCGGTTTTGACGAAGTAAGCTAATGTTACTTTTTATACGCTTGCTTAATTCACGATAAGAACGCCTATCGCTCACACGTATTGGTTACACATGCGCACGTATCTCACTTCACCGTGCAACACGTCAGACTCGACCAATGAACGAACGACCTGTGGAGAAAGCGCGCTCGTGATTGGTTCGCGTTTAATGTACGATTCCGAGAATTTGAGGCCATTAAAGCCCCGAATCGTGTATTCAGCGAGCGTATACTACATTAGTGAATGACGTACTCCTTTCTAATGCAAATCGATTTTATGTTTGCAGGAGGAAGAAGAAGAGGAAGAGGAACCTAATGGCAATATAAATATATTGCAAACAATTTCGTAATAAGAAACACGATTGCACGGAAATCTATCTACATAATAGTCAAATGTTCTCTCTCGCAGTGTCAATTTTATATACTGTGGGTGCAGTTAATTATTATTTAAAGACTTTGTGCATAGCTTCGACGGATCTTTCCCGGGCTAGCATGATCAACGTAAATGGTACAAGAACATTTTTTGCCACTAGTGCACGAGATGTATGTAATAATTTATGAAGAAACAGTAGTTTTGTGGTTTAGTGAAATGTCAAGCAGGTGTACAATTATAGTATTGTATAATATTATTTTACTTTATTATCAGTGAAAAAAATTACCTTCTATAAAAAAATGGTCATGAATCGCCAAAACTGTTACTAACGGAAAGAAAGGTACATTAGCAGTGTAGGTTGGCATAATATTTTTAAACGAGTTATTTAAGAACTTTAATGTAAAAGCGAAACATATAGTAAAATGTTTGAACTGATTCATAATCAGTGATTGTTGGAATGTGGTTAAAAAAAGTGAAATTATAGGTTAATGTAAGGCTGCATTGTAAATAAATGCTTACCATTACACCTCATTTTACAGATAAATATCATGTTCTATAAATATCTAGAAGGAAGACAGGTGGCCGAGTTTAATTGTATTAATCGTATTTTATGTTATATGTGAATGATATTTGCTTACACATAGTGTTGTATATAGAAACAAATAATGGATGAAATGAGAAGTTTTTCATTAACCTGGAAGATACTTATGATTGTATGAGATTTCGTAATAATGACGAAATTATGACTTTATAAATAAAGTTAAATTTCTGGTAAATGTGTAAAGGCATGGATGTTAAGGAATTACATGTTTCATGTATCCTATTTTATAAATACAAAATTCTTGAAACACTTTATCTTCCAGGTTAATCTCGATTATTCTAATAAAACGAAAACATACGCGGCGAAACGGCATTGCATATATTACAATAAAAAAAACGAAAAAAGTAAAAAAAAACAGCGAAACCTCTGGAAGTTGAACCTTTTTTGTGTTGTCTGATTCTGCGACAATTGTGATTTTGTAACAATCAGAAATAGCACTTTTCTATTGATACAAATTATACCTCTAGATTTCTCTTATGTAATGTAGGCATCGTATACGTAATCTTACACACAGTTTTTCATACATTGCACGTAAGTTATTCTATGTACCTCGTCAAGATAAGGAACAAAAAAAATGAATGCTGTAAAAAACTTGTAAAATTTTTTTACACTCGAATTGTACAATTGTAATTGAGTGACTGATGATTATTACGTGCTCTTCAAATTTAAGCACTTTCGTACATTATCCCAAAGAAAAACGGTGTAGCATTTTCTCTAATAATAAACGTTATGTCGTCAATAATACTTGCGCCAATTATTATTACATTCATGATTTCGATCTTCTTAAAGAAGAATTGTAATTGTTCGACACACCACCTGTTACAGTCCGTACGCTTTAACTCCTGTAAATAATTCGCGAAGCGTTTGATTCCACCTTTAGCGATATTAGAAGAAGCCGCACCCAACTGCACCCCTTACGGTCATTAACCCTATAAACATACGTGTGTACCATCGTATCGTTTATCAGGGTACATTTATAGAACACGCGATAGTCTGTAATTCCTGAAAGACAAAACTCTTTCGTATTTATAATTACGCGAAAAATATATTACATTACATTAAGAAAAAAAAAAAACTACAAATGTATTGTTATTAACTGACGTAGAATTGTGTATATACGAAACTCCGCATAATATAATGAATATTCTCTACTGCGATCACTTTTTGACAATACACATGTAATTTATGATTCGAAACGTTATATCAATTCCTTCGTATTATCCACCCAATAGTTCACGCCTTTCATTTGTATTCCTCGTGAGCCCGTAGGATGTAATAATAATCTCTCAAAGGAATGTCGAATGAAAGCGGATGTAACAATACGCGTGCAATCTTGTGCGTGCAAACCACATTAACCCGATGTCGGCGAACTTTGATGATTACGTTGTCTTAAATACAATTTAAGTACTTTGAGGACACGAGTTGTTACGCCTACGCAGTGTATCGCGTTGTATTGCCATGTGTCAGAATTACTACGTATTAGTATCTCCACGCGTTATATCGCCACGTGTTAGAATTTCTACGCGTTAGAATTCCCTCGCGTTATATCGCCACGCGTTAGAATTGCTACGCGTTGGAATTCCACGC